GTGTGTGTGGCGCGCGCGCGCGTGTGTCGTGTGTGTGTGTGTGTGTGTGTGTGTGTGTGTGTGTGTGTGTGTGTGTGTGTGTGTGTGTGTGTGTGTGTGTGTGTGTGTGTGTGCGTGCGTGGGCGTAAGGCTATAAGAAAAACTTTCTTCAAAATTGAGTTACTCAATATATTTGATAGATAAAAGTTAAAGCTAATTTTTCTAGAAGTCGAATTTATGTGTACGCGCTATTATACATTCAATATTTGGCTTAATAAAAATCGATTAAAACGTCCGGTATTGCGAAAGCTGTGCATAACACAATCTCTAGCTATGATTTTAAAAACGTCAAATCAATTTTATCAAGAAATTGTTCAACCGTTTGCCCTTAGACTTAACGGGCGAGCAAAAAAATCACACTTCCAGTATTGCCACAGATTTTGCGCTTAACAATACGAGTTTCGAAATACTTCAACGTGTTAACGCAAGAATTTGTTACGAAGCGGAAAGCAGCTTTCAAGGAGCAGGATACGGTATATTGACTATAACGTTGCACGCCAAATTGGTTAAGGTACGTAAGGATCTGCCGGCATGTGTAATTTCGCGGGAGTTACTTAACAGATGGAAGTTCGTACCTGAAAATTCCACGTTACACCTGCTCACCCATACGAAATTGCAAATTCTGCTTAATAATACGCATTACTCAGATATATTAACATAGAATACCATATTTATAGCAAAAAGTTAGAATATTTTTTTTCATTTATTTGATAAAATTTTTCGAAAGCTTTTATTTATTCGAGATGTGTGCTTTCAATCAATTGTAAATGTATGAAATATAATTTTTCAGCCTCTAAAATAAAATGTAATTCTCGAAGGCGATAAGTTTAATTTAAAAATGAGAATTGTAAAACTATACGTTATAAAACTATACATTATAAAAGCTTTGGGGAATTATAATTTTTACTTAAAAAAGAACAAACATTATTATTATTAATCGTTTCCAAAATTAGGCTAGTTTAATATAAAAAGTTTAAAATATTTCTATGTTACATGTACTTTTGTACTTTTACATGTGGAAAGAATATTTCATAAATATAATAAATAATGCGTCTCAAAGCTTTCAGTGTAAATTTTGTGTAAAGATATAAAATTATATGTTTTGATCGTTATGGCAAAATATATGCTTTATGTATATATTTTGTCATAAGTACCAAAAAACATATAATTTTATATCTTTACACAAAATTTACATTGAAAGTGCTTCGAGTTGCATTATATACTATATTTACATAATTAATGATTATGCAAGTTAAATTCTTGTAGAAATTCTTGTTGAACGTACCTACAAGTCTGATAAGATACAGACTTTAAATTAAATAAGTATATCATAAATATATATCATAAAAATATATGTATATACTATATGAAATTTACGAAATAATATTTCACTCACTTAGAAATACTTGTCATAAAGCGTATTACTGAATCCAAAGCAATCGTTTTTTTCAACAGCAGATAGCATGTATGCTAATCTATGTATGCTTGTCAAGATTATATCGCAAGTGACCTCGATGAAACGGTGAACGTCAACGAAGTCTGTGATAGCTTAGCTTGCATCCCTACATCCCCCTATACGTTTCCATGGTATAGTACAGTTACTGTTATGGCAGTGGGACAAGGCTCTTTGCACTAACTCGTTTCATGGAACATGCTATCTTATAGCAACCGTTTCTCCCGACTTGGAAATCTGTACATTCGCAGAAATGGTCTTCGCGGAGGCAGTTCAAAGTCCGCCGAATGTATTTAGGGTGAGATTAAATCTGATTCTACGTTGTGTAATATCCATTATTGCCCACGGATACGCGGAATAACCGATGCAAAGTTCACATTTTCTAAAACAAATTTAATTTGCATTCTTACAAAAAGATATAAATGAAGAGTTAAGAGTTAGACGAAGTTTCGTGTTCCGCAAACGTTGAAGGTAAAAAGTTATTTAATTGTTATATGAAGATTGTATATTTTCATTACTTAGTAATTGAATGTAGCTCTTTTCTATGACTCTTAGCTTTATATCGAAGAGCTTTTGTATTATGTGAATAAAATGCAAAATAAAATTACAAATTAACAATAAAAGATGTGATAAAAATAAATTTCACATTCCTTTAAAATTTAATTAAGATTAATCTACAGAAAAAAATAATACAGAAAAAATAGTTTTAAAAAGCTTTGGTTCGAAACTATCAAGACGATTCCTTATTGATCTCTCTGATGAGATTTTCTGTATTTATGCAGAAAGCATGATTAAGTTCACAGTAACAGATGTTCACGTAATATCTGATAAAAATAAAAGCAATACCGATATCTTTGGTGAGCCAAGAATGTTGTAATCACAATTGCGCTGAACGGCTGCTCACAGATGTCGGTAAATTGTTAGTTTCATCGAACGCGAACAATCGTAGAAGCTTTTAAAAAAGTATCGTGATCTACTGCAGAATAGAAATCTCAAGAAAATGTTCATGTGTTAAAGTTTCGAGAAAAATTTTACTGTTATCGACGAACTCTCTACCACGGAAACTTTATAGATCCCAGGAAAACGATCAATTTCAAACTTTAAGTCTTACGCAACTTTGAGTATCTCTGCACTTTTTTGGCATTTGTAACAATCAAGATTTTTGAATATATAGTCAAACTACATTAATGTGATATGCATTGTAACTCGATACGCTTTATGAATAAAGGTATCGAATATTTTCTATGACAATTGTTGTATCGAAAGTTATGATATTTTCGCCTTTACGCGAATCACAGGTCCATAGTTCTTTATTTCTCACGTGATAAAATAATTGTAAAAATTTCGAGTGCACAACCGCAATTTTATATTGGACGATCTGAGAAAGCTTTTAGTAAGATTGGAGTGCTTTTTGTGAAAACCACGTTTGTGAAATGACTTGCTCACCCGATATAAATGATATAATCGAAGAATTGATTAAATTGTTATAATATCATAATCGCATTAGAACTCTAAACTGTTTCAAAATCGTATTTTACATAAAATTTCAACTATTTTCTACAATATTCTATAATTTGATTATACTTCAAATCCAATTGTTTTATTTTAAATAAAATATAGAGATCTTTTCTTTAAATAATTAAAAAGAATACTTTTAACAATTCTTCTTATTAACAATATATATATATATATATATATTGTTATATATATTGTTGTAAAAAAATTAAAAACATTTAATATAAAAAATACCTAATTAATATAGCTTACAAAAAATATTTAGGAAAAAAATCGTATACTCGACAAAATTTATTTTATTATATAAATTATGAAAAGAGGCATACGATTCCATTATGGAAAGAAGAAGATATAAAGGTCAGCGTTAATAGGACAATTTCGACAGAACGTTGTCCGCAGATCTCAAAATAATGGGGAAAGTCGATGGAGGTAATAACGAATACATTATAAAAGAAATTCAGTCATGAAATTATACCATAATAAGTACCAATAACTTTTTTACCGTTATAGCTTATAAGCTTCCCTCTCTGAACATAGCTCTCCTACGACTGTGTAACGTTCATCCAGGAAATCTCGGCCCAGACGCGTTTAAAATAAAGTCAGAGCAATTTGACTCGCACGTTTTACGTAATGTCCAGTTCGATGGTCGGTAGACCGGCGCAATCGTGTCTGGATAGAGGATACATCGTTTCGGCGTGTCGGCCGGACCGGCACGAAATATACAGCACTTTCGGGACGAGGTCAGCTGCGACTGTAATTTCGGTACAGCATTTATCTCGCGGTAGTGCCGCGGCTGAGATCTTTATTGAGTTGGATTCAAATATATGTCGCGTTTAAATGGCTGCGTAAACTACGCAAAAAGCTGCTCGCTTCACACCCGCGTACTCGCGTGATCGAATTTCTTTTTTTTTTTTTTTTTTTTTTTGACGCAACATGTAATTGGGCAACATGTCGTTGCGAATAGAAAAGATCGAACGATGGATTTACCTCTACCCAGTCACGTTTCCCTGATTGATTAAATAAATGGCGTTGTTGTGGCAATCCTATCTGCTTAGTTTTTTTAAATATGAAACAAAAAAATGGAAAAAAATTATTTTCTTTCCGACCAGATATATTCCATATTCGATATTGCTTG